GACGATTCCGGATCTCTTAACCTTCCGCCGCGCCCTCAAGACATGGCTTTTTCAACAAGCGGGCCTGACCTAGGGTGAGTTTTAAATAGGGATAATTTTTAATGATTTTAAAGTTTCAGGGGATTTTTAAGGATAATTTTAATTGATCGGCCTGTTTAAATATTTCTTTTTAATTCGGCTTTTAATTATTGTATTTGTACTGTAGTTTTTATGAGGCTGTTAGCCGCCCTGAGTCCCATGAGGAGAAGGGCAGGGTATAAATTAAATTATAAATAAATAAATAAAATTATAAATAAATAAATTCTTGCTTTGCCAATATGCAGAACTGTCTGGTATTTTTATAGTTAAATCAGGCAACAGTGAAAGGGGAGGAGAATAAGGAAAGCCCGGGGGAAAAAGAAACCGGAAGTAAATCACATCTTCCAAGTTAATTGGAAGATGTGAACCATGACCCCAAAATAGGGGCGGGGAAAAATGCTTGGAATGTATGTGCAACGGAAAAGAATCCAGATCTAAGCATTTCCACCATGCCGTACTGACGTCTCTGTAACCTTAATAAATGCTTTTAGGAAAAATATGCCTGAAAGTCCTCTTAAGTGTTTCGTTAATCAGACACATGACATCATGCTTAGTTTCTTTTTCCCAAACTTTCCTTTTTCCCAAACAAGCTAACTTGTTTCCGCCAATCTTCCTTTTATTAAAAGGAAAGGTGTGTGGAGAAAAACTAACTTTGCTACTTCACCTGCCTTGCTCTGCCCTATACTTTCCAAGCGTCTCCCTAATTCACCTGAAAGAATAGCAAAAAGGTGTGGGGGCGTGGTGTGTGGTTGAGTTATAAATATTTAGGATGCTGATTAGGACTTAGTGTCAGCAATCTCGGGGCTATTTTTAAAAAACGTGCCAAAAAAAAAAAAAGATATGTTCCCTTTAGCACAAACAAGATTGGTGTTAAGAGAGGGGCTTTCTGAATTTTGCGCCTTTTGATGCTTGCTGTCAGGTGGAGAGATACCGGGAGAAAGGGGGTAGGAATGGTGATTTCAGCTCAAAA